GTGACGGTGATAAAGCACCGGGACCCGACGGTTTCAATTTTAAATTTCTACAAGATTTCTGGTATGTGATAAAAGACGATATTCTAAATTTCTTCAATGATTTCCATAAGCGTGGATCCTTCGTTAGAACTATCAACTCTACTTTTCTTGTTCTTATCCTCAAAAAGGAAGGTGTCAACTGCTTTTCTGATTTTAGACCCATAAGTCTTGTGGGCTGTGTTTATAAACTTTTATCTAAGGTTTTGGCCAAAAGACTTTCTAAGGTCCTAAATTCAATCATTGGAGAAAGTCAACACGCTTTCATTCAAGGTAGGCAAATCACCGATGCCATAATGATAGCTAATGAAGTCGTCGATGAGCTGTCGAGAACTAAGAAAAGAGGAATTTTATGTAAATTGGATATAGAGAAAGTCTTTGATAATGTCTGCTGGAATTTTGTTGATTACATGCTTGACAGGTTCAGTTTCGGTAAGAAATGGAGAAAATGGATCAAGCGGTTATAATAAATGGCGGCCCGTTTACATTCCTTAAGGCATCTAAAGGCTTAAGACAAGGTAACCCCCTTTCCCCATTACTCTTCATTATAGTAATGGAAGCATTAAATGAGCTCATTGAACAAGCTAAGAACTCAAATCTCATCAAAGGAATCTCGGTGGGCAATGAAAAGAAAATGGAGATAACCCACTTATTCCTCGCTGATGATACTCTTATTTTTTGTCACCGGAAGTTAGCATGCTCCTACATTTAAGATGTATTCTTATTTGCTTCCAAGCTGTTTCGGGTTTACAAATCAACTTAAGCAAGTCTGAATTGGTTGGGATTGGGCATAACTGCAAGTTGGATGACCTATCCAGGGTTCTGGAATGCAAAACGGCAAATGTACCTATTAAATACCTTGGTATACCTCTTGGGGCGAAGCATAAGAATGGCAACTGTTGGGAACCGGTTATTGATTACTTTGAAAAACGTCTTGCTTCATGGAAGAGAAATTATCTGTCTAAAGATGGGAGATTGACCCTTATCAAGAGTACACTATCCAACCTCCCAACTTATTACCTTTCAACCCTTACTATTCTGGAAAAAGTGGCTAAAAGACTCGAAAGAATTCAATGTAATTTCCTATAGGGGGATGAGGATAGCAAAAAAAAGTTTCATCTTGTAAATTGGGACGACGTCAAAAGTCCCATCAAATCCTAGAGTCTTGGGTCTGAGGTCCCTGAAAATTCTGAATAAGGTTTTGCATGGTAAGTGGGCTTGGAGATACTAGAATGACACTAACAGTTAATGGAAAAAAGTGGTGGATTGCAAATGGAATCTGAAGGGAAGACAGGATCAGATGTTGTTGAATAGAAGTAAGTTTGGTATGAGCTTGTGGAAGGGAATCTCTAACACTAATCATTCTGTTCTTGAGTGTTCTAGATGGAAAGTGGGAAAAGGCAACAAAGTCAAGTTCTTGTCTGATTTCTGGTGTGGATATTATAATCTGCAAATCAGGTTTCCTTTTATTTTTGCCCTCGCTAAGGATAAACAGATGACAATTGAGGATGCTTTTGACAAAAATAATGGCATTGGTTGGAACATTGTGGTCAATAGGAATCTAAAAGATTGGGAAATAGTGGAATACGAGAATTTGCTGGCAGTATTGAACACCATTCAGCTCAGCAACACTGATGATAGGTTGATCTGAAAGTTGGAAAACAAAGGCTCCTTCAGCGTAAACTCATACTATAATTATCTTGTGGGATATAACATAATTGTGGTAAATTTTTTTCCTGCTAAATTGATCTGGAGGGCAAATGCTCTCACAAAAATTTCTTTCTTCGCTTGGGAAGCTTCCAAGGGACGCATTTTGACCACTGACAACCTTATGAAAAGAGGCTTTTCCCTTTCCAACATATGTTATCTATGCAAAAACAATGCTGAAACTAGTAACCACCTTTTGCTTTGGTGCCCTATCACTCACAAGCTGTGGACTATGGTATATAGTCTACTTGACATTAGTTGGGTAATGGCTGGCTCTGTTCAAGAAGAATTATTTGCTTGGGATCTAGTGTGCAGGAGAGACAAAAAATTGAGACTCATTCCGCTCACAATTTTCTGGGTTATCTGGAAAGAGAGAAACAATAGAGCCTTTGAAGGAAAGGAAGAAATATTTGGCAACATTGTGAGCAAATGGCTACACTTTTTTGGTTCCACTGTTTTGGAATATAACATTAACCATTTTGAAGATTTAGGGTCAGTTGTAGATATTCTTATTAACTTGTAAATCTTTTGCACATGGGCGCGTCCCCTTGACATCTCATATCAATATATTCTTTATACTTTTCTTTCAAAAAAAAAACAAGGATAAGAGATCTTCAAGGCGTATTCTGCTGACTACCTCTCGAACAATTTGGAAGGAAAGAAATAGAAGAGCTTTTTAGGGTTCATAGAATAATTTTGGTAGATTTAAGGACTCTTGGTTCGCAACCTAAATATTTTTATTAAGAATCATCCTCTTTTATTTGTGAGAATTTAGATGCCCTAATAGATATTTTATTATATATGTAAATATTTTATGGGTTTGCACCCCATTGGTGCTTCTGAAGATAATATATTTCTCTTTTAAGAAAAATAGTTACCTTCTTATTTTTGTTTTCTTCCTATTTTTTTCTTTTTGTAAGGATTTTAACCATTTTTTGTTTGTACATTTCTTATTTTTTCCTTAATAAAATTTCTTTTCCTAGCCCCAAAAAAAGGATGGGATTGCTAAACTGAAAAAAAGGAATTGTGAGACTGCCAAAGGTTGGAGGAAAAACACCCAATAGAAAACGAGTACATACATTAGCATCATGAGTGTCCTGTTCTTGTATTTTGAGTTTGTCCGAACTTCTTCATCTCAATCCTTTGGCTACTTTCTAGCATAAAGAACACAGCTAAACATCTTCAGACGAGAAAAGAAAGATTTAGTTTTACACAGATTCCTAACTAATTAGGAATTTAAACCAAATGTTATCCGAACAATAAATCTAAGGAACATTGGAGAAATATAAACATAACAGGTGCCCACTCAAGTAACCAAGAGACTCACAAGGCAAAAAAGGATTTAGTTTGTTCTCCGAAGAAGAGTCAAATCTGCTATTTTAATAAAATGATATATCTTTTTTCTTAAATCTAAGTAATAAAGGTTGAATTCATGTTGTTTCCAATATTTTCATTCAAGAAAAACCTACTGGAAAACCTTTAACAAGTCTCTTTTGACAAACCTCCCAACAACTTTGAAAAATGCAATTGAAAAACCATCAGGCAACCCCAAGATGCCAAACTTGCACTTCTAATTTCATTATCCTCAAAAGGCCTCCTTAACCATCTCACTTTAAACTCATCAACAAAAGGTTGGTAAATATCCTCCTCATCACAGAGTCACTTATCAGCCTCAATATTAAGAGGAGTCTATAGACATCCTACTGTCCTCAAACTCCAGCTCCTTGATAAACTCTTATCCACAAAGCCTGAAAAGGGACTGGAAAACTATTTTTTCATTTCATTGCTTCTTCCCTTACTTCTTGGTTACCTTTTTCTTATAGAAGATTACTTATTATCCTCCTCCACGTATTTTTTATCTCTCTGATAAATTTTTCTTTGTTATTAAAAAGCAAAAACAGATTGCCATGAGCTATCAAGATCAGCCGAGAAATGGAAACAAGGAGACATTGAGATAGTTGGCTTAGTACTTGAATTTTTTCTGAGCATTTCTCTTAGACTGTCGAAGTGGTGTTTCTTGAATCTTATCATTCAAATTCTTTTCATCATCTAAATCATCTTTATTAGCTTCAGGGGATTGCTGCTCTGTGTATCTGGTTGCAATTTTAGGAACCCCTTTAGACACCACGCCTGCCCCACCCTTAAAGTCATAATCCGTTGGTTGTCCCTGAAATCAACAATCAAAGGGAATTGTCTCCAAATTATGCCAAAAACAAAAAAGCATGACATAAATTTCCGACCTAAATATCAACAGAAGAAGCAACCTCACTCAGTTCCTTTGGGAAGTCCAATTGGGCTTCTTCCGGGTTCTCATCTTTTTTTCCGATCCACCAGACATCAGAAAATACGACCTGGACAAATCAAAATTCTTGATGGTCAAGAATCCAACAGCTTTCCAGAAAGATCACTTATAAAAAAAGTTATGGGCCCATTTGCAATGGTTATATCTTAGAGCTTCTAACTTTTTGAAAACTAGCTCAAATGATTTTTGGTGGGAAAAAGAGTTGTTACCAAGCTAAAGAGCTGGTAGATAACTACGAAAAAGGCTAAAGAAAGTTTACTAATTTTTTATTTAAAAAACTTTTTCAAACATATTTCTTTGTCATTCCATTAGGAGTTAAAGAATGAACCGCAACAATTGTGGTGAACCAACCACTGGATATACATTAACTACATATGTAGATTTGTATGTGAAAAGCATATAAGTGATACTAAGGCTCCCTTTGCTTTATGTTTCTATTTTTCATTTTCAAAATTGTGTTTATGAATTTCTTTATTCGAAAACATGTAAGAGGTACATTATTGCAGAATAATTCAAAGCACAGACAAATTAGTTTTCTTAAAAACACTAAAAGCTCTAACCTAATCACTATTTTTACTATATTCTCTTTATTGTTAACTAAATTATATAGTTTTAGGAATGAAATACACAAATTTAGGAAATGAAATCTAGAAAATATTTCATAAAGAGAGTCAAAAACTATTTATCTCATGAATAGAAGTATCAAGTTTCTTATGGATAATGAAGATTCTTCTGAGGATGATACTCTGGTGTTTTATCAACTGAGTGAGAATCCTCTTCTTCACTTAAGATGTATGCTTCTATATTTTCTGCAAAATTTGAAAAGAGACTTACAGGTGGAAGAGAAGTTTGCTTTCAGAGAGGGGAAGACTAACTCTAATAAAGAGTACTCTGTCCAAGCTGCCTGTTCACAACATGCCACTTACTTTGATGCCAGTAACTGTTGCAAAGACATTAGAAACCCTACAGTGCAGATTTGTGTGGAGAGACTCAAAAGAGAAGAAGAGATATCACCTGGTGGCATGGAAGGAAATAAAGAGACCTTTAAGTGAGAGGGGACTGGGGTTGAGATCTATGATTGTGATGAATAAGGCGCTTCAAAGGAAGTGGATGTGATGATTATGAAGGAAAGAATGCCCTGTGGAGGAGGATCATTGAGACAAGGTATGGCACATCAGGTTGAGGGTGATTTGCCAAAGTGATGACAAGGCCGCATGGGGGGTTGGATGCGGCGTAGTTTGTGCATCGAAGAGACAGGTTTCAGGAGCGTATCAGTGGAAAATTGGTGATGGTGTCAAAATTAATATGGTCGGATTGTTGGATTTAGGGTGGTGTGTTGAGGAATAGGTTTCTGCAGATATATGTTATCGCTAGACATAAAAATATTTCTATTAAAGAGGTCAATGTTGATACTGAGGGTCCGAAGGAGTGGCACGTGGAGGTAGTGAAAAACCTCAACGATTGGGAAATAAATGAATGTAAAACCTTACCGTCCATGCTTGAGTCGACTATTTGCAATGAAGGATATGATCAACTGGTTTGGAAATTTAGTGAACTGGGCATTTCACAACGATGTCTTATTAAAGGCACTTGAATAAGAAAGAGACCGCAGAGAGTAGTTTCCTATATGGACATATTTGGAAGATAAAAGCCCCCCCAAGGTCGCTTTTTTCGCTCGGGAAGCAGTAAAGAAGAGCATTTTGACTATTGATAAGCTAAAAAGGAGGGGTAAGATATTCGTTAACTGGTGTTGCTTATGCAAGAGGGCAGAAGAGACATTTAATCATTTATTACTTTGGTGTCATGTGGTGCATAGTTTGTGGACAATTGCCTATGGGGCTGATAAGAATTAATTGGGTTGTGCCTTGTACTGTGATGCAAGAACTCCCGGCATGGAAAGGCTTAGCCAATAGAAAGGAGTGTCGGAGGCTGTTCCATTGGCAACTTTTTTGGTTATCGAGAACGGAAGAAATAAAAAAGTTTTTGAAAGATTGAAAGAAGGAA